TGCCTTTTGTATTGTGATCACAGGTCGTGAGTCACGACTCGTGACCCGTAGCAAAAAAAGCTCGACACATCCACTGTATCAGACCAAAGAATATATGTACATTGTATCATCAACAAGTTAGTTTGAAATCCAAATTTTTCATAAAATACCATTCCATAAAGCTAATAGACGCTTATAGTTTTCCCGCTAGACATAACGGACTCGCGTTAGAGCACGGATATGACAACGCCACGACAATAGCCTACAGCACCGATCTGAGATACAGGTCTCATTGAACCTGTAAGAGATGGCTCGGTAGTTAAAGGGTTAAAGTTCCTCAAAGCAAGCGCTTTTAAAACCTGTGAAACTTTAAATATAACTCTTCTTTTACAGGAAGATATTGACCAGCGAGAAATGGGTTCAGAAATGACACGATACTGGTTGCACACCTTAGCGGTTAATCATTCTAAACCTGCCAGTCTTTAATCTACATCTTGTAACAGCGTAAAAAAAAAATAGACGAAGCAAAGACAGCGCAATTAGCAACCTCTGCCTTCCTTGCCGTCAGACGGAATGTACCAGCAGTGCTTGGTCGCCACTCCGCCGACCGTCGTGCTGTTAAAAGTCTCCCCGAATTGCCACGTCTTGTCCGCCGTGTGGTACTGCAGCTTAATCCAGTCCTTGGACGCTTGAAGCGACATGAAGCCGTACTCGTTGCTGCCGTACGTCCACTTGTTCTGCACGAACGGGGCGGCATACGACGGGATGCCGCTTGCCGACTCCTTCTGGATACCACCGCCAGCGCCGTTCTCAATGAAGTGAATGCCCAGCGACGAAGAGTAATCGTGCTTCTCACCGTGAGTGTGACCGTTCAGCCAGATGTGCACGCCAGAGCCACGCAGTGCGTCGAACCACTTCTTCATGTTGTGTTCGGCGTAGTGGTTGTACGGACTGTAGTGGCTGTTGACGATCTTCCACGTGGCTGTCGACTGCTTGACCTTTTGCGCGATCTGCGCGCGAGAGTCGTCTCCCCACTGGTTGAACTTGCCCATACACGCGTCGAACATGGAGATGTCTCCGCCACAGCAGTACTGGTGGCCACGGCCCACGTTACGACACGTAGCACTGTCACTGTTCGAGTAGCCGTAGCACTGGCAACAGATCTGCATGGCGCCGTGGATGTCGGCGTCGTTCGTGTCCACGTTGAACACGTCGATGCTCACACCCGTGGCAGGGTCCTCGATACGACGCACGTAGAAGTGGTCGTCCAGGTTCCAGCGGTTGTCGTTCGGACTCGTGTACTCCGATTGCCACGTGAACTTGTTGTCCAGACCCTGTAGAAGTGCGTCTGTAGTCTCGCACTTAGCGTTGTTGTCTCCTTGGTTGCACACGTAACTGGCACCACCGTAGTCGTGGTTACCCAACACGTTCACCCATGGGATCGTCTTGATGTTGTTGCCATTAAACTTCTCCTCGAACGTCGTGGCGAAGCGCGAGTCGCGGCCCTCGAGACTGTTGATTCCCGTCCAGTAGAAGTTGTCACCGTGTCCGATGATCAGCTTCGGCTTCACCGCAGCGTTGCCGGCCTCCGTGTTCATCAAGCTGGCCACGATGTCCTCGGCATGAACGTCGTAGTTGCTGTACGTGTCCGAACGGGAGCAGCAAGAGCCCTTGAAGGGGGTTGTTCCCCAGTCTCCAATAGCGAAAGCAGAGAGCGAGTACGCAGCGGAAGCCGGGTCTGACAAAACCTGGGCGTCTGCTACAACAGCGAGCACTCCCACATAGATGGCTAAGAGGCTGGGGGTCAGCATGATTGTACGTCCTAGTAAGGCGTTCAAAGTAAATTGGAGAATGAGAGCACTGGTCGAGAATGTAGTGCACCACCAG